AAGAACAGATGTATGCGTTTGAGTAAGACAGAATGATATATATTATATAATATAATGTAAAAACTAAATCAAAGATGTCACCACTATTATCGAAATTGAAATTAAAAAAGTCTGTACTATCGACCTTGATTGAGTTGGGTAATCGGTTTAGCATCCCCTTAAGGGAAGGAAGAGGGACGCCTGTTAATCTCAACGAAATACTCTAGTGACTTGAGTATTTCGTCATAGTCAGTATCGTCTTCCGGAGGGACGGGGGAATATGAAATGGGGGGAAGGGGGGAATCTAATAAAGAAGGAGATGAGAAGTTGAGAATGGTCTTGGAGGGGAGTTCTTGGTTCTCCGTTAGGTCAATGACGGGGATTTCTGATCTGCTGGGGGTGATTTGAATTCTGGTTTGCGATTGGTGGTGGGGGTTTCCGATAATTTCTGGGTTCTTATCTGTGATTGGATGTGGGCCTCCCTTAAGGAGAGCCTCGATCTTTGCCCTCTTCCGACAGTCCGCACGATGGCGATTACGTTTGACCATCTATACATAAAATTAATTTTAATTTGGCTGTCGTAGAGTTGTGAAGGATATGGATGCGGGTGATGAAATTTCAATGAGTCGAATATAAGAGGGAGAGAGAGAGAGTTGAATTACTGAAGCGTTTTGCTGCTTCGAGTAATTCCAGGAGAAGGAAAGGGTGTGTCACTCAAAGCGTAATATCGTTTCGAGTAATCACAGAAAAGAAAAAGAGTTCGAACTATTTGAAGCGATTTCAACGCTTCGTGAGTTCACACAGAAAGAAGAAGATGTGAGTTACTCACAGCGTTATCTCGCTTCGAGTTATCACAGAAGGAAGAAAACAAGAGAGAGATGAGAGTTACTCAAAGCGTTATTTCGCTTTGAGTAATTATAGGAAGAAGAAAGCGCGAAAAAGGAAAAGGAAAAACGGAAGGATATTTTTATTAGGTTGAAGAGAGGACGACAGAAAATTGTAAATAGTCGCGGAAAAGAGTGTTAATAAATCTTAAATGGTCGCGGAGAAGAGTATTAATTACTCACTGTTTTGGCGGCGAAAGGAACCGACAAATCTTTATGCAGGGAGTCCTTGCAGGATTGCCGGTCGCTATTGATTTCTGCCAGAGCTTCGTTCAAGAAAAGGTTGATGGAATCGTACTGCGGGGTTGTTGGGCGAACTTACTAGCGATCCTGAGAACTCCGTATCAAGTTGAAAGATTCGGGCAGCACTTCGTGCCGTAGGTGATATCCGATTAACTGATTTGTCCTCGCGAAGGGCTGTTATATACTATATGCGAGATATGTATTTTTTCTGGACTTGACTTTGACTCAATGGTTTTTTAACTTTAGACCTTGGTTTTTTGTTGATTCACCCTGTTTTGGGTGTTATCGTTTTTTGAAAATATGTGAATGACTAATGATTTTTGTTTGAATTATTGGGAAAGCTTTTCCAAAAATAGAAGTGATTAGATATATTTTCATTTTATGAGTCATACTGCCATTAGACATATCAGGTGTATGCATAAGTTTTTTCCGGTTTTTTGGTAAAAAAAAACACGTAATTTTCAAGGAAAATTAATTTGGCAAACCATTTGTCGAGCCATTTTCCAACTTCCTCGAAATTGCTGAAGTGCTGCTCTGCGAGCGCGTGCCCCATTGATGCGAAGAGGTGATAGTCAGATGGCGCCAGGTCTGGAGAGTACGGGTGCGGAAGGATGTCCCATCCAAGCGATTTCAAAGTGTCTTTCACTGGTTTTGCTGTGTGAGACGGCGCATTGTCGTGTAACAGAATCACTTTGCCATGTCTTCTGGCCCATTCCGGTCGTCTTTCGATTAATGCGTGGTTTAAATTAATCATTTGTTGGCGATAGCGTTGTGTATTAACGGTTTCGCCGGACTTCAAGAGTTCATAATGCACAATACCGCTCTGGTCCCACCAGACACAGAGCATGGTCTTCTTGCCGAAGCGATTTGGCCTTGGTGTTGATGGACCAGCTTCGCCAGGTGAAAGCCACGATTTTTTCCGCTTCGGGTTTTCAAAATAAATCCATTTTTCGTCACCCGTCACAATTCGATGCAAAAATAATTTCCTTTCGTAGCGTTGAAGCAGCATTTCACAAGTGACTTTGCGATTTTCCATTTGACGTTCATTCAAATTGTGTGGGACCCATTTACCGAATTTATTGATCTTTCCCATTGCTCGTAAACGTCTGCTGATTGTTTCTTGTGATACATGTAATGCTTCTGCTAATTGCCGTTGAGTTTGAGTTGGGTCTTCATCCAATAACTCCTGCAATTGCTCGTCTTCGCATTTTTGTGATCTACCAGAGCGCTCATTGTCTTTCACATTGAAATCATCACTTTTAAATTGTCGAAACCATGTCTCACATGTTCTAATCGATGGAGCGTGTTCACCATATGTTTCTACCAGCAAACGATGACTTTCAACAGCCTTCTTCTTTTGATTAAATAAAAAAAGCAATGCGTGCCGCAAATGTTCTTTTTCAGGCACAAAACTCGACATGATCACTGAACGATAAAACAAAGACGCTAGTTTTTGGCGGACTCAACTTGTGTGTGTTTGTAGTTAAATGTCAGACGAACAAAATGGCGTATGTATCAAATTAATACGCTGCGTACTTTTCGCTGGCGCCATCTTTTAGTTAAACCGGAAAAGACTTATGCATACACCTGGTACATGTGTGATTCGAACATCGATAATATATATATACAGGGTGGGCCATTTTAATCGATCCACCCAAATTTCTCCAAAAGTAAGCGCTATACAAAAAAATTGTTTAAACAAAGTTGTTCAGGACAATGGGGGTCATCTTTCTGCATTATTGGTTTTGACCTTAAGATCAATTTTTAAGGTTATTTGAAGGTCAAAATAATTTTTTTAAATGAGAATCCCTATTTTCGACACCGGATTCGGAAAGAGCGGGAAATTTTACGTCAAAAATGATACGTCAGAAATAATAGTTTGATAATTTGCTAAAGTGACCTTCAGAAGGTCAAATGTTGAAAAATCGTCCAGAAGCTGTTTTCTTCAAACTTTAGAACATTTATGAGCGAACAAATGTTTTAGTAGGTTTGGAGGCCAACGACCTTGGCTATCTTGACCTTGAGGTCAAATTTAAAGGTTATTAGAAAGTCAAAGTGATTTTTTTATGAAAAACCTTACTTTCCTCGCTAATCTTACTTTTAGCGTTACACAGAAACAACGACGTGGACGTAGTAAGTTCTGTTTCCTTTGAGGTGCTTGTTTACCGTGAGTCCCCTTGCCTCTCACGATTGGGGTGCTTGTTTACCGTGAGTCCCCTTGCCTCTCACGATTGGGGTGCTTGTTTATCGTGAATCCCCTTGCCTCTCACGATTGGGGTGCTTGTTTACCGTCAGTCCCCTTGCCTCTGACTTTAACCATATTAAAACAAGTGTTCAAAGTTGCCTCCATTAGCTTCAAGAATTTACACGCCTTTGGAAATGTTGCACTGTCCTTAGCAAAGTTTCCCTTGGGATTGCAACGCAGGCTCGACGAATACGGTCTATTATGTCTTCTCTGGTTGTTGGCCGTTGTGTAAAAACAACATCTTTTAAGAAGCCCCATAAATAGAAATCGGGAGATGTCATGTCCGGTGAGCACGGAGGCCAGTTAACTGGACCTCCTCGTCCAATCCACCTCTCATTATAATTATCATTTAGAAATTCGCGTACTATTAGCGCAAAGTGGGGTGCTGCACCATCTTGCTGTAACCACATTCTCTGCCGTGTTTCTAAATCGACATCCTCCAAGAGCTCTGGCAATCGATCCCTAAGCAATTCCAAATAGGTATATCTATCGACATTTCCCTCAAAAGCATAAGGTCCGATCAGGTAACCGTTTATTATGCCACACCATACGATAACGCTCCATCGATGTTGATGGTCCACAGTCCTGTGCCAGTGGGGATTTTCATTGGACCAGTAGTGGCAATTGTGCCTATTTAGTTGACCGTCACTGTTAAATGTAGCCTCATCAGAAAACATCACATACCTAAAAAACTGAGGATCATTTTCATAATGTCTAGAGAATAATTGGTATAAACAAAATTGCATAATACAAAGAATGCTATTTCAGGTGATAATAGTTATTGGGAGACTTTGTATAAGGTTCTTAATTCGTATTCATTTTACTCACTCTCTCTCTCTCTCTCTCTCTCTCTCTCTCTCTCTCTCTCTCGCATTACAATCGGTAATTCATTTCCGATAGTAAAACGGGACACAAATTCAGATTCATACTCTGTATATACACACAGATTACATATATTGCTTTGTTCCTGTTGCTTATGCTTATATTTTATAAATCAGAATTATTGGATTCTTTCCATCCATTTGGAACCAACGTTTGATTTTAGCTTCAATGTCTAAAAAGCTGTCTGGAAATCGTAGTTTAACCGCACTTGCAAAGAAGATTGCAATAAAATTATAATGTGTCAGAGAAAGAGAGAGAGAGAGAGAGAGAGAGAGAGAGAGAACAAGCGTATGAATATTTTGTTTGTCATATAAACCCAAAAATTAAGTCAATGTGCAAATGAAATTAAATTTAAAGAAAGCAATAGATATGTTAAATTTAAAAATATGAACATACTAAATACAACTTCACATAATTTTGTATCCAAAAACCAGGGATGGGAAGTAACTCGTTACTTGTGACGAAGTTACAGTTAGAGTTACTTTTTTTCAGTAACTGTAACTTAACTTCGTTACTTTCTTTCCATCTGTAATTATAACTTAACTTAGTTACATCTTTTAAGTAACTAGTAACTAATTTAATAGTTACTTTCATAGTTATTTTATATATTTTAAACTTATTTGTCCACGGTAGTGTCCACTTGGCGCTACAAATACTTCGAAACATTTGATTAATCAGATGAAAAAAATTTAATTAAAGCGTTCAGTGAACTTTTGTACCTGTTTGATCTATATTTTGGGGTCTAATGGAATCCGCCAATCAAATGCAAGAGCGCTCAATGAACGGTTGTAGACCATTTTGGATTAGTGCTGGAATTTATTTGCAACTTTTAGCCGAATATAAAAAGAATTTTTTTTTACAAAAAACATTGTATATGTGTGCTATTTCATATTCATATTCATATTCATATGTGTTTATATTACTTTAACGAAAAACGTCTTTGCCATATAATTTTTTTATCTTTTTGAATAAAATTGGTTAACATGTAAATTTAAGCCAGTCTTTT